CGCATAGGACTCCCCCGCAGCTTACTTAGGAATCGGGATCTTGTTGCCCTTCGTGGCCCCGTTGCAGCTCTTCATGGTCTCCTCGCTGCCCTTCGTGGCCCTTGTGCAGCCCTTCGTGGCCCCCTCGCCGCCCTTTGTGGCCCCGTTGCAGCCCTTCATGGCCCCCTCGACTGCTTTCGTGGACCCGTTGCAGCCCTTCGTGACCCCCTCGCTGCCTTTCGTGTCCCCGCTGTCGCCCTTCGTGGCTCTCTCGCTGCCCTTCGTGGCCCCATTGCAGCCCTTCGTGGCCCCCTCGTTGCCCGTCGTGGTGGCCCCATGTGAGTACGCCCTGCGTGTCCCCCGCTCGTTCGTGCCCGTCGTGGCCTCATACGCATGCGTTTCGTGGCCCCGCTGTCGCCCTTCGTGGCCCCCTCGCCGCCCTTCGTGGCCCCGTTGTTGCCCTCAGTGGCCCCGTCCTTGACCCTGCGGTCAAATATACGTATGCCCTTCGTGGCCCCCACTCGCTCGCGCCCGTCATGGCCCCATCTGCATGCCGTTCGTGGCCCCGCTGTCGCCCTTCGTGGCCCCCTCGCTGTCCTACGTGGCCCCGTTGCCACCCTCAGTGGCCCCGTCGTCCCTCTTTTGTTCGCGCCCTTCGTGTGTCCATACGCATGCCCCCCGTGGCCCCGTTGCAGCCCTTCGTGGCCCCCTTCCTGCTCTTCGTGGCCCCGCTGTTTCTCTCGCTTTCGCTCTCGCTCTCGCTCTCGCTCTCGCTTTCGCTCGTCGTCGTCGTGGTCGGTCCCCTGTCCGTCCCTCTTGGGGTCGGGCTGCCGCTGGTCAGCGCTGCCGCTGGCCAAGCCGACGGTCCGCGGCCGCCCCGCCGCTTGCAGGGGGAAGAATATGCCCCCCCCCCAAAAGGGTACGTTCGAAAACGAAGAGGGCGGGTATCGAGGGCTTGGGAAGTACACGTTCGATGACGCTCGAGCAGATAGGATCGATCAGTTTTTAAGTTGTGGTGTTGTTGTTGTTGTTGTCGTTGTTGGTGTTGGTGTTGTTGTTGTTGTTGTTGTTGTTGTTGTTGTTGTTGTTGTTGTTGTTGTTTGGCGGCGGTTTGGGCGCACTCCTGAACACTTTGAACGCGAGCCGCATGTTTTAAGGAATTGCAGCTGGCGCCGAGACGAGAATGCCACTGCGGACGTACGGCGTCGTTCAGTATTAGTTCTCTACTTGTTAAAGTTCAATATCAGCCAGCGTTGTCTCCAAATAGAAGGTGGGTGGTGATGGTGATGATGACGATGATGATGATGAGGGCGATCCTGTGTTCCACACGCGCACACTCCAGTCCACTGTATTGTACGGTGCTGGACCGTGCGGCCCAGCAGTTGCGTCAGGGGTGCAGAAACATAGGCCTCGGCATAGGCGTAGGCGTAGGCGTAGGAGTTCGGGGGGAAGGAATAGGCATAGGCATAGCCATAGGAATTGGAGGGGGGGACAATTGACCAATTAGTGGGGTTCGAGTTCGAACTCCAACAGGGCAAGCCTATTTGGAAAACATGGACTAGTGAAGCTTCGGGGCCTCTTGGGAATCTTGAATGAAAGCGGGAGCGGTGTCGACCCGTCGTTGCTTGCGGTGGGGTCCGCTTGTGGCGCCGAGGTGAGGGCGCTGGTCTGGAGTAAAAGTGGGTCAATATCGAGTGAGAGCGCCGCTTTGTAGGAAAAACAGCTTTCGGCGGCTAGCAAGAGCCCCTGTCCCGAGTGGAAACAGAGGAACTATCGATCGGGGGGTTTGATGTTGTTGGCGGACCGAGTTCGGCGCACCCACGAAAGACAATCCGCACGCAGCGAGAGCGCCGAAGCGGATTCAGGGGGTCAACAACAATCATTGTACGGTGATTAAGAATCAAACCAACAATTTGTTTTTTACGCAAATGCTCCATGATTCCATCTGCAGCATGCATCCATCACGATTGCTCCCCCCATCAGGGGGGATCCTCTCCTGCACAGGGGGCCCAACATATCCTTGCTTGGATTTCCTTCCCCTAGAAGTCGTGACAACACCTCTTCCGAGGCACTTCGACATTCCCAGCCCGGATGGCACATCGCCTTCGCAGTCGCCCTGCCCATGTCTTTCTTCTAGGTATCACAACGCCCGAGACGCCCAAAACGTATGGGAGAGCCCCTGGAGCTCTCTGGACAGCCTCTGGAGGGGTCGCCGACGCTGGCTTTCGGGCCGCCCCTGGCACGCGGAACGCGCCAGGAGGGCACCGGTGCAGACTTTGACAGCGCGGGCTGCAATCTTGAAGATCGGAAGTCGGGACTAGGGAAGCCCCCGTTCGTTCGGGGAGTCTTGTAAAACAGCGGAGGACGTGTTGAGCAGAAACGTCGTTGTTCGCAGGGGGCCGTGTGTGCGGTGCCGATGCGGAAGGCCGCTCCTGAGCGAGTCGCAGACAAGTATCGTGCGGGCAGGCTGGTTTTGTTGGGGCTCGGGCTTTCGGCCGTATATAATAGGAGGACGTATCGAGCGGGAGCGTTGTTGTTGTTGTTGTTGCTGTTGTTGTTGGTGTTGTTGTTGTTGTTGTTGTTGGGGGGCGTTTTTGGCGCACCCCCTGAAACGTCCGATCGTGAATTTCATTTCCGGAGAAATGCCGCCAGCGCCGAATCGGGAGCCTCGAGACGGGGGTCAGCGCAAACGGGGGTCAGCCAGGGCGCCAGATCCTGCAGGATCCTGCGAAAACCCCCTCTGGCTGACCCGGGTTAGGGAGCCGCTCGTGGCCGCGGGGCGGCCGCGCGTATTGGCTGACCCGGGTTTGCGAAGACTTGCGTTGCAGTTTTTTTTTCCTGCATTGCATTTTTTGGTTTCCCGCTGACCCGGGTCTGGATTGACCCGGGTCAGAGGATCCCCGACCGAAGCGAAATTGCAAGTGCGAGTGTAAGTTTTTTTTTTGTTTCGGTATGTGTGGTTTACATCATTAGTTTCAACACTGACTGGTGAAACCTCAAGGCCTGTGAGGATCTTGAGTAAAAGCGGAGGACATACCGAGCGGGCGCGCTGTTGTTTGCAAGGGGGATCGTCAGCGGCGCCGAAGCGGGAACGCCCGTCCTGAATAAAAAGCAAGGATCAATCGAGCGGGGGCGGTGGTTTTGCGGGAGAACCGACTTTCCGCTTCGAACAGCAACAACAGCAGCAACAACAACAATCCGCACTGCGGAAGCCCAGTTGAACCACGCACCCAAAGACAATGCAAAACCGCTCGACTCCCTGACCCTGATGTTGGCCTTATTTTTTGTTTTTTGCTTTTTGTCATCATCCGAGTTGAGAGGACGTCGCAATGCCCATCATCCCCCGAAAGTTAAACAAATCGTCTGTTCATTATATAAGGTTTCTTTGATTGCGTCAGCCTGGGAATGCGGCTACGTTCGGTATGTTGGCTGGCTACGCTGCCACCTGCTTGCTGTCCTCCAGCTTGAAAATTCCCTCCAGGCCATCCATACTTGTTTGTTTTTGGAGTCCTTTCTGATTCATATATGTTTACAAGCAGGGTGTGTGCGTGTGTGTGCGTGCGTGTGTGTATGTGTGTGCACATGTGGTGGGGGGGGGACAATTTGCCGCACACAAGCCGGACTCTCAGTCTCCTCGGTCGCCATGGACTTCCTGGACGACCTTGCAGAGGGACCCCCGGGATTTTCGGGCCTCATGGATGTGCCTACCAGGCCTAGCCGTCCGTCCTGGTCATCGTGGCGGGTTGGGATATCTCCAGTGTTTCAGGGACACGGTAAAACTCGAGTTCGAAGGATCCCGGGTTTGCTGACGTTTTTTGGCGGGGCGCTCTCGGTTTCGACGCTCCAGTTTTCGTGCGGTGTTTGCGACGGGAGCACACGCATTAAGGTTCAGACTCGACTTCGTCATTTGCATGAAGGCCCCGTCAGGTGAACCCCAGCCCCCCGAACCCACGTCTTGCCGTCGGGACCTTGTGGATACCCATGTGTCGTTGCAAGTGGGTCTTTTGGGATTCCCAGATTCCACTCTACTTTGAGTGCCTTCTTACTTCCATGATCATGATCGAGTGGCTTCACCTGTTCCGTCCTCCTCAGGGGGCCTACGGAGGAGGCGAGGAGGAGGAGGAGGAGCAGAAGGAGGAACAGCCCACTGGAAGCGACTCTTCTTTTCAGCGCCGTCCTGTTTCATGCTTCTGCCTGCTCCTTCCGACCGCAGGTAGAAGCATGAAGCAGGAAGGCGTTGAAAGGAAGATTCGCTTCCAATGGGCTTTTCCTTCTCCTCCTCGTCCTCCTCCTCCTCCTCCTTCTCCGCCTCCTCCTCCTCCTCCTGCTCGCCTCTGTGCCGCGCCGCCGGTCCTGGCCCGCCACGCTTCGGCGCGACGCGCTGCCCACGTCGGGGCCCCCCAGGCGCCGCCGCCTTTTGTGCCCGGCCTCCCGGCCCGCGGGGCCGCGCGGCACTCAGGAGGGAAAGAAACACACAGACCCAATTCATCTTCGATTTCTGAGAAGATATGGGAAACTATGGGAAGTGGGGGGAATACAAAAACCCAGAAACCATACGAAAATATGGGAGTCCTGTTATTTGTGTGTATTTATTTGTGTGTCCCGGGGCCCTTCAGGCACGCCATCCGCTCACAGGGCATGGCGTGTTGCTGGGGCCGCCGCGGCGACACGCTGGGCGCGAGTCGGGCGTGTCCCTCTACGGGAGGAGTATTTTTAAACATCGTCTAAACTTAGTCCGCATGTTTTGGCCATGTTTCACAGCTCCCGTCCAAGATACGCCCGACGCTAGGCAAGCGCTCCTGACCGCACGTCTCCCCGAGTGCTGCTGCTTCGGCGCCGGGGGCAGGGCCTCGGCCACGCGCAGAAGGGGGGCAGGGGGAGGGGGGAGGGCTTCTTGGAAGCGCCCCCCTGCTTCTGAGCAGGCGCGGGCCTTCTCTACAGATGCGGGGCCAGCGCCTGCTAAGCCGCAGCTTCCTTCTAAGGGGCCTCCCCTCCGCCGTGGAAGCGGCGCACGCCCCCAGGCGTGGAAGTACTTGGGCAACGCGGCCAGCGCGGAGCGCAGTCGCGGGTCGTCCCGCCGCGCCGCGGGCGCTGCCCTCCCCGGTTAGGGGCTCAAGGTTTTTGCAAGCGGATGGTGGAGCCTTCTGGGGACCCAGGATTCTAAGTCTCCCAGATGGGGTCCGAGTAAATTGGGTCGGAGGATCGCGCCGCATCGCCGATGCATCGTCGATGCGGCTCGATGTGGAGCCCGATTTTCGCCGCGCCGACGTGGCCAATGCGTCGCCGACGTCGCCAGTGCATGGCCACTGCATCGCCGGTACATCGCCGATGGCTCGGCGATGCGGCGAGATTATTCGACCCCATCTACTCCGACCCCATCTACAGTCGGCCCTGATTAGTAGGTCGACCATGCCACATCGAGGGTACCTTTGTATCCTGTCTATCCCGAGCTATGCAACCCGCATGTTCTTTGGTGTTCTCGGGCCACGTTGCCGTCGGAAGAGTCTTCTGTCCTCTCCGGCGCCCCGTCCAATCAAGTCCGACTGTAGGAGGTTTCGAAAGATGGCCCAGCATCGGGTCTGGCTTGCAGGAGGGGGGGAGGGGGCAGGGTTCGGCCAGGATTTTCGAGGCGCTGGGTTCGGGCAGGGCTTGTGGCTGTTTGCTCGGCCTCCAGGGGGCGTTTTTTTCTTTCCCGGGGACCTTCCAGAATCGGATCAGGGCGAAAACTTCGACTCGCAGGCCTAGAGGTTGACACCAACAATATCGGCGGTGTGCCTCCACCGAGGGAAGAAGATCCCGAGCTCGGTGATGGTGATAATATTCTGGCTTCCATGGTGACCGAAATATTTCCACCAACACCGAAATCTAGGATCATCTTCCCCCTATGGAGGCAACCCCCTGTGTTGGTGTTGGTGCCGATTTCCAGGCCTCCAATAGATCACATTGACTTCAGGAGGGATCTGGGGACCGATGTTGAGCGGTTGGCCTCATCCCACCTCCTGAGATTTTTTGTGGGGTGCCAGCCCGTTCAGCCCCCCAGGCCGCCTCCAAAGAGTGGGGCGATACGACCTCAATTCTGGAAGCGCTCCCGCTCACTGTGGCGGAGGGAAGAGGTCGTTCGGTGTGAGGAGTCTTCTCACGCCCTTTTGACCCTCTGGGTCTGTGGAGGGGGGAGATGGAGATGGCGGAGGGAGGAGTGAGGGAGGGGGGGGGAAAGAGGAGGATGAGGAGGAAGAGCACGACGAGGAGGAGGAGGAGGGAGCAGTGAGGAGTGGAGGGGAAGATCAGAGAGGAGGAGGATGAGGAGGAGGACCACGTTGATGATGGTGATGTGACTGATACTGATGCTGATGCTGCTGATGATGGTGATGATGATGATGATGAGGAAGAGGAGGATGGTGGTGGCGATGAGGAGGAGGAGGGTGCAGAAAGCAGAGGGAATGGAGGAAGGGCGCGATGGGGAAAGAGCAGAGATGAGGGCGAGGGGGGCACGAAGGGGAGGATGACGATGAGCAGAGTAGGGAGGTGGAGGAGTAGGGAGGTGGAGGAGGAGGAGGAGGTGGGGGCAACACTGTGAATGAGGAGAGGCACCAAGATGGGGATGGGGATGGGAGGGGGCGGATGACGACGGAGAGAAGGGTGCTACATGATGAGGAAAGGACGGGGACGACGATGGGAAGGAAGAGGAACACTCAGGATGGAAAGGGGGTGAAGCGGGGTGGTCAGTCCAGACCCTCTCGCATTGCACCCTCTGTGATCCGATTATTTTCGAAGGCGCCTACAGCGAATCACCGCCGCCACGCCTGTCTTTTGGAATCGCCCCATGTGGCCGAACGTCGTGGCCGACGCTCTGCAGAGCTATCGGACCACTTGCTCCCCCAGCCGTTGTGGGAACCTCGGGGAACGCGTGGGGGAGAAGGAAGAAACGGAGGAGGGAGGAAACATAGAGGAGGAGGCGGAGGAGGAGGAAGAGGAGGCCCCGTGGGGTCAACCACGACCCATGCTGTACTCGACAGCTAGCGGACCAGGACGTCGAGGCCGTCAGCATCAACAAGGACGGCTGCTTCTACCACAGTCTCAGGCCGATTTTCCCCCCTCCCAACGACAACCCCCCGATGTCAGCGTACCCTGTGAAACGAGAGCAGGTCGACAACGCAATGACACACAACATCCACGACCTACTCGACAAGCTGAGGACCCAATACCAACAGGAACAAGAAGCACACGAGTGGGTCGATCGAGCACATCTGTGGCACAGCGGCATCGCAGGCGGCACCTTTTTCTCCCACCTCAAGGTCGACCAGGAATCCAGGCCGTTTCCCACCTTCGGCAACAGCATGCTCGCGGTCGCGCCCATACACGCCGGTCGTTGAAAGTCGGTATTTTGGGATTCCCAGATCCCAATCTACTTCGAGCGCCTTCCTACTTCAAGAATCGACATGCTTTTGCTGTGTTTTGTTGTTCTCTGGGAGGCCCTGGACCCAATCCACTGTATCTGCCTTCCCACTTCATGTTCCTACCTACTTCTTCCGACCGAAGTGTACCAGAGGGAGGCCCACACCCTCCACGAGGCAGCCACATCATGCACCGCACTAGGCAGCTGCGCGGCCCCAGGCCAATACCCGCACCGCGCGGTGACCGCCGCACTTTCGACCGCGAGAGATACACACCGAGATATTGCCGACTCGAGGCGCGGGCACGCACGAAGCCACCATGCAGAATAACGAAGACACGACCACAATTGAGGGCAACAGCATGGCGCACCTACCGAACGACGACGCACCTACGAGCACCGCAGACGCACCCACCAGCGCAGCCCCGATCAAACAGATCACCAGTACCGACCCCCAACCAGCAACAACGACCAGTCCAGCATGGCGGCACGACCCCAGCAGCGAAGCCTGCGAGATTCAAAGCACCACCCACCCTACCGACAGTCCGAGAAGAAACAGCACAGCGACCTACACACGTGATCGACGACGAGGTCAAGACCAGACAGCACGACCTTGACCTACTGGAGGAGCACACAACCACCAGGGCACCCAGCTTCTCCAACCCGACGTCCAGCGACAGCACACCAGCAGCAAGCGCCAACCAACCACCTGCCATAGAAGTCGTACCACAGAGGCCCAGTGGCTGGTTCTCTATCACCACGATTACGCACGAGAAGGTCAAACCCGACGCAATTAACTTCCCGGTGGAGGCAACCATACGCCACTCGTTCCACCAAGTTGCAGGACTCTCTCGAACACGACACAACCACTGTGAACGAGGGGGACGAGGTCACAATCATCCAGATGTCCTACAACAGCAACAGCGACCCATGGGCACGGGGCACCATCACCCAGACCAATGCGTAACACCAAGCACTCTCTGTTATCATACATCATCACCGAGTTCCAGTCCCAACACAAGGACGCCCAGGATAAGCTCGACACCCTGACGACAATGGTAGGCAAACAGCACGTCAGCTACAACCAGGCCCTCAACATCCAGAAGGAGATCACCCTGGCCAAAGGACTCATACCCGAGCTCACCGACAGCCTCAACGAGTCCATCGACAACCTACGCCCGTGAACCGTGGCGATAGCCATCCTCGCCATAACCACCAATCACTGGACGACCGCACGCGGTGCCCACGCGCCAAACGTCGTCACGGCCAACGGACACGGCCTCCCGACCTCCGACCTACGCTCCAACCGCTCTCCATGAACTGCCAACCCCTGGGCCGCATCCTCTCCGTCGTCAGCAGCAACGTCCTTGCCCTGAAGAACTACCACCCCTTCCTGCACCGCATCCCCCCCATCGTCAGCAGCTGCATTCTCGTCCTGCAGTACTTCCACCTCTGGCGGGCCCTTCATGTCACCCTCTGAACCGCAGCCGCCCCACCATCGTCGGCAGCAGCACCCTTGCCCTGAAGTGCTGCCACCTCTCCCAGAACCGGATCCTCCTCATCGTCACCAGCGACACCCTTGCCCTGAAATGCTTTCACCTCTGAGGGGAAGGGGGGGATGGGAGTGGCTGGGTATGAGGTTAGCGGTGGAGGATGGGGAGGTGGGGCAGGGCGGGGCGGTCGCGGCCCGCAACTTCCCGCAGTCCTCTCTCTCGTCCCCCCCTCCTCGTTCGGGCCGCCGTGGGTGCTTCCCCTTTCGACCTCCTCTTTCGGTCCCCCGTCCGTTTCTCCCCCCCTCTTCTTTCGTCGGCCTCCATCGACGGGCGGAGCGGCCCATTTTCGGAATGGCCCCCTCCTGCGGTACATGGCGGTACCCGCAGAAAGAGACCACTGGCAGCACCTCGACAGCAGGACCCCGCGCCACTAGCGTAGCGCAGGCCTCTTGGGTGCCTCTTGGTGCGCCGATGGGGCCTCCCGGGAGCTTCCTGGGAGCCTTTTGACAGCCTTTTTGGCAGCCTTTTGGGAGCCTCCTTGGGCATATGGGGGGGCATGTTGGGGCTTTCTTGGTCGTCTGAGAACGATCCTGGCTCGCCTGGTGCCGTCGGAAGCAGTCGTGGACATCTCTCTAGACCGACTTAGGGCGCTCTTGTGGGCCGCTTCAAGGCCGTCTTGGAGGCCATGTTGGGCATATCGGGAGACCACTTGGGCCGTCGTGGGGCCTTTTTGGGGCCGTCTCGGAGGCTTCTGCGGCCGTCATGTGGTCATCTTGGAGGCTTTTGTGAATTTAGAGGCCAGCTTGGCCGTCTGGGGCCGTCAGACGGCCGAACAGAAACGAATGTCTCAATCCTTGAACAACCTAAGCAAACTCAATGATCTGGATCTCGTCGGGCCCTCCTGGAAGACCTCTTGAAGGCATCTTGGAGGCCTCTGGGCAGTCTTTGGGGCCTCTTGGAGGCCTCTGGGGCCGTCTTGGGCCGTCTTGGAGGCAACTTGGGCGATCTGGAGGCATCTTGGACTCTTGGGCCATCTTGGAGGCCATCTTGGACCCCAGTGGGCAAACTTGGAGGACATCTTGGCCTTCTTGGAGGCCATCTGGGGCCATTCTGGAGCCATCTTGAGCAGGGAACAACCTTGGCAACCGGGTCTTCTGACTGGCCCGCGCGCTGGACCGAAGCCCAAAGGGGGAGTCGTGAAAAGAACCAGAAAACTTTCGGATGTCCAGCACGTCAGGCGCCCTGTTGGGAAGACCAACCGGGGGCGGCGGATCGAAGACGCCTACGGCGAGTCACCGCCGCCCCCTGCCTTTTTGGAAGCGCCTATGTGGCCGAACGTTGAGGCCAGACCTGCCAAGCTATCGGACCACGTGTTCCCCGAATCGGTTTGGAAAGCCTTCGGGGAACACGTGGGCATCTTGAAGGTCATCTTGGCCGTCTTGGAGGCCTCTTGGGCAAGCTTTGGGCGATCTTTGGGGCTTTTTGGGCCGTCTCGGGCCAGCTTCGAGCCAACTTCGGCCATCTTGGTGGGTTCCTGGCACGTCTGAAGCCGTCGGAAGCCGTTTGGGGGGCCTCTATGGGCCGACTTGGGGCCCGCTTGGAATGCTCCAGGGCCGTCTTGGAGGCCATCTTGGGCGTCTTGGAGGCCATCTTGGGCGTGTTGGAGGCCTCTTGGGCCCTCTTGGGGCCCTCTAGGGGCCATCTTGGAGGCCACTTGGGCCATCATGGGGCTCTCTTGGGGGCCTCTTGGGCGATCTTGGGGGCTTCTTGGGCCGTCTTGAGCCGTCGGAGAGCCGAAAAGGCGCAAATGCCAAAATCCTTCAAAAACCAATGAAAATCAATGATTTTGGCCTCTTCGGACTCTCCTGGAGGACCTCTTGGAGGCCTCTTGGGCCGTCTGGGAGGCCTCTGGGGGGCCTCTTGGGCCGTCTTGGGCCGTCTTGGACTCTCTTGGGCCGTTTTGGAGGCCGTCTTGGACCATCTCGGGCGGACTTGGAGGCCATCTTGGGCCATCTTCGCGATTTTTTGAGGATGTCCCGAGCGAAACGGCCGTTTTTGGGCATTGACAGACGCATTTTGGGAAACGCGCGGGTGGCCGGCGGGACGGGCCGAAGCCCACTGGGGAGTTCTTTTAGAAAAAGAACCAAAACCAAAACTGAATCATCCAGCACGCCGTGCACCCCTGCAAGCAGGGGGCGGCGGACCTAGTGGCTTTCGGCCCATCCAGCCACCGCGCCTGCGTTGTGGGTCGGAGGCTTCCTGGATGCCTCTGAGGATGTCTTGGGGGGCCTCTCGGATGCCTCTTGGAGGCGGTTTGGGGGGCGTCTTGGTGGTCTCGTGGGGCCTCTTGGCGCCTGGTCTGGGCCTCTTGGTGCCTCTTGGGGACCTCCTGTGGGCCTCTGGGGCGCACATTGGGGGCTTTTGAGCGAATCTTGGGGCCATCTGGGGGCAGAGGGCTCGAAATGTCAGTTCGGGTTCCCCATCGTGGGCCCTTCTCGGGGCCCGCTTGGGGGTTTCTTGGACCTTGCTTGGGGGGTATTGGGCCGTGTTGGGGCGATTTTGGGCGCCTCTTGGGCCGTCTTGGACGCTTTGAAGACCGGAAAGGCGGTAACGCGACATGCATACAACACAACTCGTGGTTTTCACGATTTGGGCCTCTCGGGCCGCCCTCGAAGGCCTCCAAGATGGCCCACGAGGCGCCCAAGAGGGCTCCAGGACGGTCCCTGGGGCCGTCTGAAATCTTGTTGCACATGCATGTCATGAACAACGCGCTCTTGGGCTTTCGAAAAGGCACACCGGGACCCCCAGGAGCGCAGGATAGCGCCCAAGAGCGCCCGGCACTGCAGGCTGTAGGCCCCTTACACAATACTTCAATCGCGCAGTACAGAGCACTCGAAGGGAGCTGAGGACACTCCAATTCGTGCCGCAGGGCACGGTGGCGCAGTACTAGCGTCCTCCCTCCGTTCGTCTCGTTCCCTGTTTCCCCCACCCGACAGGTTGAGGTCGTTAGATTTTCACAACAGGCCTCACGCCTCGCGCCACTTTGCATACCGCGGCCGCAAGATCTCCCCGGTTCCCAAGGGTCCCCGAGTGTCTCGCCTCGCGTCGACTCGCCCACTCTGCACGCCGCGGCCGCCTGATCTCCAGGTCCCCCGAGTGTCCCGCATCGCGCCACTTTGCATACCGCGGCCGCCAGATCCCCTGGTCCCCCGAGTGTCCCTGAGTGTCTCGCCTTGTGCTTTTTTGCGTGCCGCAGCCGTTAGATTCCCAGGTCCCCTCAGTGTCCCCGAGAGTCTCGCTTCGCGCGGACAATTCATAGCATGACAAAGCGGTAGTATAACACAGTAGAACATACTACAGTACAACATCACAATATATAAAAGAGCAGAGCGTACCATCATACCACCTAAAATAACATATCCGAACATCCCGTAGCGTACCATGACATACCACATCGTAGCATAACACGCCATGGCAGTGCATACCATGCATCACTGCACAGAGCATTGCATAACATGACAAGCAACCATACCATAATAACACATCGCAGAGCTGAATATACCAAACCATAACCTCTCACAGCCTCCCATGCATGATATATCATGTCATAACGCGGCACATCATAACAACGCAGTACATGCCAGGCCAGAGCATCCGATATATAGAACATACCATAACATAGCAACCTATACTCTACCATGACGCATCATGGCATACCATACTATACCATGGCAGACACTTCATCACACCATAGCATTCCATCACATCACATATAACATTACATATAGTGGCGCAGTGCATGTGACATCATGAAATGGCAGAGTGCGGCATACGATGTTACGGCATAGCAGAACGTTGCATATTATGGTACACTAAGCTACGACATAATGTATCATACAAAGCCGAGCGTACTACCACTCCGCATTTCATTATTTAGCATACCAGGTCATAAACTAAACGGGCATACCTTATCATATCGTACCATGACAGACCATCTCACACCGTAGCACATCATCACCACACATAGCATCCCATAACATACCAAACGCGACGTGCGCACCGTCGGGAACAAACGCCGAAGGTTTTGGTGGGAACCGCTCGACGCAAATCATTAATCCCTTAGTGAGGCCTTCGTCCCAACTCGCCAGAGTGCAGGGGCCAAGCCCCTGCAAACAGGATGACAGGGCATTTGTCTCGCCTTAGTGCGTGATAAACCAGGACGACAACAACGTCGATACATCACCATGTCTCTGGGCGCGGGGGGTACCTCACACTAGCGCGCGGCAAATCTTTTTTCTGGCCCGTTTACTAAGACCTCGTTTGTGGGGGCGTGTAGGTGCATCTTGGACGTCTCTCGGGATCTCTTCAGAGGCTTCTCGGCAGTCTCTTGAAGGCGGTTCTCGGGTTTCATGGGGGCCTCTCGGGGGCATCTTTGGTGTGTCTTGGGGGCTGCTTTGTGCATCTTGGGACTTCTGGGGGGCCTTCTGGGGGCCTGCTGGCGATCTCGGTGCTCATGTCGCAGCGGAGGGCTCGACATGTTGATCCGTGTTCGCCCTCTTTGAGCTCTGTTGTGACCTTCTCGGGGCCCTCTTGGGCCATCCTCTGGGCCTCCTGGGCCGTCTTGGGGTCAGCTGGGGGCCTTCTTGGCGGCCTCTTGGGCCGTCTTTGGGCGATCGTTGGGGTCTCCAGGGCCGCCTTGGAGCGTCGGAAGCCCGACAAGGCGAGAACGCCAGAATCCTTCCTTCACATTTCTGGCGAAACAGTACCTGTTGCCTTCTGGGGCCCTCTGGGGAGGCCACTGGGAGCTCTTGTGGGCTGTCTTGGGGTCTCATGGGCCGTGTGGCGGCTCATTCGTTCGTTCATGGGACGTCCCGAGGCCACCTGGGGCGTCGGGGAACGCTCTTGGCCGTCTCGGAGGCCTTCTTGGGACATTCCTTCTTGGAGGCTTCCTTCCGAGCTGCGTTTTCTTTCGGGTTGAAAAGGTTTACTTTCCGGGCTGGCGCGCTGCGGGGGCCCCAACCCCGAAACAATCAGCCCAACCCGAAACAAAAACCGGATGGCGAGTTTTTGTTCTGGGTTGGGAGGGTTTTTTTTTTCCGGTCGAGAGGTTTTTTTGGGGGGGTCTTCCTGGTCCGTCTCGGGGGCCCCCTGGCCTCCGGGGAAGGTCCAGGGAGCACACGGGGGCACACGCCTGCACGCTCTCGAGACTCTGGCAACTTGACGTCCGGGGCCCCTCCTCCTCCTCCTCCCCCTCCCTCCTCCTCCTCCTCCTCCTCCTACTCCTCCTCCTCCTCGACCTCCTCCAATCCCGAGGGCCGCGGGCGTTCCATGGCGTTCCTCGCGGCGCGGTGGCGGATCCCTCTCCCCTGGGTCCCGCCAGTCCATCGGTCATTTCGTAGTCCTCCTCCTCTCACTCTTGTTCGTCTCGTGTTTCACTCTCTTTCTCTCTTAGCGTGCTCCCTCTCTCCTTCTCCCTCCTCTCCCTCCTCAGTCTTTCTGTCTGCCACGTGCGCATCCTCTTGCGTCTGTCTTTGTGGAATTTCACATGTTATCGTCCGTCTCTTCTCCTCCCTCCCTCCTCCTCGTCTCGCAGTTCTCCATACTCCTGCATTGTCCTCCATCTTCGTTGTGCTCCTCCTTTCTCCCTCCCGCCAGCCGTCTCCCTCAGCTCTTCTACCTGCTGCCCGCATGATGTCTGGAAGCGGCTGGATGGAGGTGCGCATTCATGACGCGAGAAGGGGGGAGGTCTCTGGGGGTTTGACCCTCATCATGCCTTCCCCCGCGCAACTGCTGCTGCTGCTGCGCGCTTGCGCGATGTCGTCTGTGATCGCTGAGGTGGGCCTGTGAGGCTCCTGGCTTGCTGCATACACGGGCTCGTCAGAGGCGCTGTTTCCTTCTCCTCCTCCTCCTCTTCCTCCTCCCTCAGTGCTTCTCCTCCTCCTCCTCCTTCAGCGGTTGCTGGTTCCGCCCGCAGGGGAAGGCAGATTGAAAACGAATCCTCCTTATGCCTCACTGCTTCTCATCCCCGTCCCTCCCGCTCCTTCCCCCGCCTCGCCTCCATATCCCTCTCCCCCTTCTCTCCTCTCCGCGAGGAGGCCTGCAAAGACATGGTGCTGGAGGCGTACTCCGACGGCTCCGTGCTCGCATTCGCGTACGAGTCTGGGGGCTATTGGGCGGGGACCTGCTATTCCGAGGCCCTTCACCCGCCCTCCTGTCTACCTCTCTCCCTCTCTCTATGTATGTATTTCTCTTTTTTTTCCCCTCTCTCTCTCTCTTTGTTGTTTTTTTGTTCTCTCTCACTCTCTCTCTCTTTATCCCGATGTGTGTGTGTGTGTTCCTACAGGTGTCCATGTCTCTGTTTGTCTGCTGGGTTCTAAATATACACATGCGTCTCCCTTTCTCTCTCTTTCTTTTTCTCTCTGTGCATAATTGTGATTTGCATATACCTGTCGCGCAGTGCCATCTCGGGGGGGAGCAATCGAGGGCGTCGCCGCCCCAGCGCGTGGACAGCAAAACTTGGTACTCGCAGTGCTGTGCCTGTGTGCCACGTTGGGGTCCCGGACGACGTGGCGCGGTCTCCGCAGATGGAGCAGCGACGCCCTGCGCGCGACATCTGGAGGCTGCGTGGCGCTGGCGGCATCGGCGTCGAAAGGGGCCGCGCAGGGTTGCGGGTCGGGCAGGAGCGGCTCGTGGGAGGAGGTGGCGCGCGCGTGGTCGCTGCTTCCGCCGAGCGAGGCGAGGGGCGCGGAGCGTGCAGATGGTGGTAAACCTGCCGCAACGCCCCCGCCGACGCGGTTGGGAAATCCAGAGATTGACTGCTGAATTCAAGCGGCGCTACGTGCAATAGTCAGCGGCTTGATCTTTGATGTGGTTCAGCACTTGCCATTGGGCACGCATGCGTGCCGATCTGCATGCCGCCGCGCACGTGCATGGGCTGTCCGGACACGCGGTGTTCGCATCATGGCCCTGTCCGTCCTCGACGGCAAAAGCTTGGATTGGTGGCGTTTTCGTGAGCGGGGGCGCGGCGGTCGTCACGTGCGGTCGGTGGGGCAATGTTTTGCCGTCGCTCTTGGCGACTTGGATGGTGACCTGCAGGGCGCCCCCGTTCTGGCAGGTGGTATGACCGCGCGTTTTTTCCTGAAGGCGCGAGAAGGAACACGCCCGCGCATGTCTGATGGAGCTTTCGAGGTCCGACAGAGCGAAGGTATGGGCGCGTGGGGCCAGATTCTTCGGGGGGGGCCTTTCGCGTCGGCCATTTTTGATCCGGCGGTGGCGAGTCACTTCGGCGGGCGGGCCATCTCGGAGATGAAACTGCGCTTTTGCGCTGGGGCGCACCTCCGAGACGATCGATCCGAACCTAGGAACGACCTGTCGGCGCGCGGCGCATGGGAACGGACGAATTTTGACGATTGATTCGCGACTTCCCCCGCGGCGCGCGGCGGCGCGGAAGCGTCGCGTTGCCCAAGGGGGCCAAGTGCGCGGCGAAGGTTGCGCGGGTGGGGCGGGGGGGCATCTTGCCCCCAAGGCGGCGCGCCATGAAGCGCCGAGCGCTACTGGAGTTGGGCGCGCCCAGGCGGTGGCGGGAGGGCGCGGCCCCGACTGCTCCACGCCGACGCCTGGGAAATTAGTCAATGGCGTTCTATGCGCCAGGTGGCATGTAGACGGAGGGCGCGACTGCAGCTCAGAGATGTCGTCGCGGCCCTTGCGCCGCGTCGACGATTTGGTTTCTCGCCCGATGCGAAGTTCCAGAGTGCGTTTTCGTTATTGTGCTCTTTGTTGTGTTCCTCTCTTCCTTTCTGATGTTTATCATGCATGTATTATTTTCTGGGTGGGGGGCGGGCGGGGGCGAAGGAAAAAGCTATTGCTTGATAGCGCCGCGGGCGGCCGCGACGGGCGTCTGGCGGCGCCGGGGAATTCCGCGAGCTTCGCGCTGCCCTGGCAGGGGATGTTGCAGGAGCTTCGAGTGCCGGAAAAGGAAGGGCTGCAAGAACGGCGCAGCGGTGCCTCGCTTTGGCGAGCATCCGGGGTTCGTCGCCCAGATCTCACTGAAGATCATCGGCTCCGCGACAAAGGGGCAATTTCCCACGCTGGGGGCACCGAGCGAATGTGCGACGCGAGGTCATCAGACGTCTCATCAAGACGTTGAAGATGCGCGGGCGCAGGTCATGCGCCAGCGTCGACTTGGAAGCGATGGGGGGGGGAGATGCTGACCAGCTGCCGAAATATCGCGCGGCGCCTGGAGTCGCCCCGCAGTCGCCGCGCGACGCAGCGCTGGACGAGCTCATGGCGCGAAAGGTCGCGGCCCCGCGCGACGTGGCGCGAGGTCCTGTCGACGCGGCCGCGCGGGGCATGGGGCTGCGGGCCCAGAATGCCTCCGCGATGGACTAGGCGTTCCTGGGCGATGCAGGTGCAAGCGGACTGCGGGCAGGAGCGATGGGGCGCGTCTCACGCGAGGGCGCAGGCAATTGCGCGGCGTCGAGCGGCGGGACGACTGAACTTGCGCAGAAGATTCCATGTTTTCAATGCGTGTGGCACGTGCGCGGTTGGGTTGCCGCGAAACGCCCGAATGCCCTCGCGGCGGGAGCGGTGGCGAGCGCGCGGTGGCGCGGGCGAGTCCAGCGGCCGACGGCGCGGCCAGCTGAGGCCCGAGGACGGCGCAGTCTCCTGCATGGGAGTTGACGGAGACGGACGTCGCCCGCTCTGGGTGCGCGACGTGCCCGGGCAGAAGAATGGCGAATCAGTTCGGGCCCTTGTTTTCGTTGGAGTATCTTGTCTCTGCATCCGTTTCTGGGGTGAGGATGCCGGACGTGCCAGAATTGGCGCAGATGGCGAGCTGTCGGCGCGGGCTAGCGGTGCCTCGCGCGGAACTCGACCGGCGGGCGCGCATCGCGACTTGCCGCGCGGAGTCGCGCGGCGAGAGTGGATGTTTGGATGCGCGTTGTCGCTTGTTGTTTTGACAGCGCCGCAAATGCTCGCGCGGTGCGCCTGGCGGGCGATCGGAAAGCCGCGGGGGCGCAGCGCCAGTGTCCGCGTCGCGTGCCGCAGAGGGCGGCGTCGCGCATTTGCGCGGGTTTCAATGGCGCGCGCAGGGGTCCATCCACTGGGGCGCGCGCGCATGTCCGTCGAGAGCTCGCGGAGCTGAATCGCGCGCGCCCCCGTCGACTGAATCGGACAGGCGCCGCGCTCAGGACAAGGGGCGATCGAGGCGCGAGCGCATCTGGGGCGCGATGCACATGGCGCCGCGACGCCCGCGGAATCCCATCGCTTGTTCAACGTGCTTCCAGACGATAGGCATGACCTAATCTTGGCGCGGATGTCCCGATCGGGGAGAATCGCCGCTGTGAGTCGCCGTGCGGCGCGAGAGCGGCATGGGCCAACGCGCGGCGGCGCGTGGGAAGCGTCGCTGGGGCGCGAGCGAGTCGGGGCGGGTCGCCGCGCAGAGGGGCGCGCGGGGCGAGGGGGGCAGTGGCAGGCGGATGGGGGTGCGCGCGAAGGAGAGGATGACGTGGGCGTGGCTGAGCCAATAGGAGCGCTGGAAGGTGTTGACCTTGACTTGGACGAGCGCAGAGCAGCTCTGATGAGGGGCGCGCTGACGGGTGCGGGCGGCTTTCGGGCGATCGCGGGTCTCATGTTCGAGCAGAAGTTCTGGGCGTGCGATGTGTTCCATATTCCCCGATATGCGAGCGCGCGGACTTGCTCGGGGGCCGCCTGGGCGACGGAGGCAGCGCGCGGGGGCGTCGAATCTCGCGGTCAGTATTGGGCCCCCGCTGCCACGCGCATGTGTTCGTTATGTGTCTGCGCCGGCGTGTGCCCACGCAACGCGCGGCTCGTCTTCCGTCGAGAGCACCGATGCGATTGGCAGAGAGGCACATGAGGCGCAGTAGACACGCGCGACGGCAGCAGCACGCCGACGTGGGGGGGGGGGGGGGGGGGGGGCGAAAATACAGACAGCGCGCCCAGCGCGCAACGGCGCGGCGGACGTCGCGGCCGCGCTGGGGCACGCGAGCGAAAGCGTCAGAAGCGGCGGAATAGAGGGGCCAGGTCGTCGAAGAAGGCCGAACGCGGTTGCAAGAGCAACCGGGTCGTCTGGGCGCGAACCGCGCGTGCTAGCGGGGCAGGCGGCACCGGCGCATGGCGCCTTTGCTGTCGTTGATGTAAGTGTGCGAGCTTTGTGGGTGGTAGTTCGGCCGGTAGCGCCGTGCTGAGGTGTGGCGAGGGCTTGCGGCATGCCGCGAGCGGGCAGGAGACGCGCGTCGGGCTGTCCGCGCGGGCGCGTGAACGAGCGCGCCCTCGACGGGCTCTTCCCTTTGCGTAGCGGAGCGGCGGGGTTGAATTCATTGGCGCCGCGCAGATCCCGCGCGGAGTTTCGGTCGCGGAAGCCGCGCGCAATAGTTGCGCACGCGGCGAACTTTGCGGGGGGACAAATCAGCCGCTGCACGCGGTGCTTGCGGCGCTGCAGGCAGAAGTCAGCGGCTGGGCGCGCTAGCAGAGTGCCAGCGGACGCGGCTCGCCAAGTCGTTTAACGAGGCGAGGGGGGGCACAAAAAACGGTCACCGCGCGAAGTCGGAGCAAACGAAAAACCGGGCCGCGGCATCTCGGGCGATTAGGTACATGAAGAGGACCCGCAGCGACATGCGCGGGAGAGGCGCGGCGCGGTCGGCGCAGGAGCGCGGGGATTTGCGCGCGCAGAAATTTCAGAGACGCGACCGTTGCCGCACGTATCAGGACAGCCACAGCAGCCATGATGCTCGGGGCGGACGCACTTCGCATGGCCGAACAGCTGCGCGCGGACGGGAAGGGCGCGCCCGTGGCTGCGTCGGGAGCAGGAGGGGCCGAGGGAGGTGGGGGTTGTTTCGAAGAATCCTGTGTGCTTGTGCGGCATGCGTTCCGCGGGCGAACCAGGAGCGCCCGTCTTGGCGCTCGCGTCGCTGCGGGAGTTCTGCGGAGCTGGCGGCGTTTCCCCGCGGCGAGGGCGAGCTATCGGCGGCTGGCAGCAAGGGGTACCAGGCGACGCCGACGCCTTCAGGCGTTTGGGGGGCGCGCGCGGCCGCCCGTTTTTTTTTGGGGGGGTCGCGGACTTTTGATCGTTCGCTTTGCGAGGCGATGCGGGTTGCGGGGCGCCGCACTTGCGAGGCTTTTGCGGAGCGCGCGCGTCGCGGGCGGAGGACTCGTTGGGATGGCCGGAAAAAGAAGC